GCAGATGAGAGCAATTAGGATGTACACAGCACTCTAATTAGTGTGATTTCCTCTGCATAAATGGGGCAGGGGGAGGTGGAGTTAGCCAGCTGATGCTCACTTCCTTCTCTTGGCTAAATATGTGAGATGATTGGAATGGATGAAGCAAGATGCCAGTAATTCTCTTTAAATTGAGTGTTTTCTTTGGAGGGCTTTTAATGAAAAATAAAAAAAAAAAAGAAGAGAGAGAGGAAGCAGAAAGGCACTGGCAAAAAAAAAATCCTTAATTAAAGTGCAGGGAACTGACAGCGAAATGAGATAAACCCTACCTTGCAGCTTCTATAGGGAATTGCATATCCCAGCAATCCTGCTCAAGAATTCAGATCACTTAGGAAATTAAGGAGGACTGGTTCTTCAGAAGAGTTCAGTACCAGCAAGTCCCACTAATTTGGTCACTTCATTACAGTGCTTCTCCAGGAGATAAAGCCTAGCCATAAAACTGCCTTTGAGAAAAAGCAGATTTTATTATGCAAGACTGGCATCCTATCTCCATCAGTAGTCCCTGCCGGGATGGCTCTGGCCAAGGCTACATAGAGCATCTCAGGTCCTTCACCAGGATGGAGAGGCTCCCTGACAGCACGATGGGTCAGAAAAGAGCTATTGCCTCCTACCAGAAGACACACAGCCAGGTATGACCCCCTCATGCCCGGTGTTCACATCATGGGGCAGCACAGCCATCAGAGTCAGCCCACATCAGAGATTGGGGTGATGCTGTTTACTCCATGCATGACGTACCTTGGATGCTGCAGAAGACACTTAATTGTGCAGGCAGGTATGTGTCAGCCTAATGGCAGAGCACCTTTCCCAAGATGCTGCCTAACAAAAGCTGGGATCCATTTCCTCAGAGGTGACTCCTTGCAGGCTCTCTGCAGGCCAGGGCAGACATTTTCTTTCCTTGCGTAAGAAAGGCCTTGTCATTGCCACCTTGCTGGAAAGCTCACACACCTTGCCACAAGGTGACAAGGGGATGATGACACAGAGGCCAGCACTGTATCAGCACTTATTTGTGGGGACCACACTGCCTGCAGGAAATGAAGCATGCATGCATTGCCAAAAATACTCCCTTTCCAAGCCAATCTCCTCCTTTTTTCATTCCTGACAATCTTGTGAATTCCAGCTTTGAAGGTGGCTATGGTCACATAGTGTAAACTCAGTGTCATTAGTGAAGATGGTATCACTGCACCAGATTAAAGTTGGTGTGAGTACAGGAGGCAGGAACCAGCCTGCAGGTAAACTGCTCCTGTGCTGTAGTCATGAGGTTCCTTGACATTGCCCCAGACCAATTTCATTTCCCTTCCAAGTAGGGAGACCCTAGTCATGGCCTCAAATTCTAGAGGAATAAAAAAACACTGGTCTGGTTGTGATTCTCTTAGGCTAACAACCCACAGGTTGGACTTAGTTGTTTTTAACTGTTTCTGATGTGTTCAACTCGCTCTCACTCATGGTGGTGCTGCATCTCTTCTTCAGTTTCCCTCATCATCCACAGCAGCATCCGTGGCAGTTGATACAGGATGTCAGGTATATCTGCTCTGAGGAGCTGAGTGCTGCAGCTGTGTCCCTTCATCTCTCGCAGTCCTGGCAAACCTGTCTCTTTGTCCCCATCTGTAAATGCTAGTAACTGTGTGATTCACCACCAGCCTTAGTTAGGAGCCAGCACTGAGCCCATCCACAGCAGAATACTTTGCACTAACTAGGACATGGGCAATCACAACTCTTGGTAATTAGCACTACTTCCAGGGCTTCAACTCACCAGGACAAAGGGAGCTTTGCTACAGGAAAGTATAAGATCAAAGCTCAAATTCAGGATCACTTTGCCTTGACGCAATATAAAGTTAGTTGTGTGCTTGGAGAGTGGCAGTTCAGAGTCAAAAGACAAGAGTTTCAAAAACTTTTCTTGCCTTTTAAAAATTCACTTTCAATAACCTTAATCTGCCTGGATTTGACAGACCTGATTCACCTTCTACACCAGCCAGACCCACAGAGATAGGTGCTCCTGATTTACACTGTAGAAGAGAATCACAGCTTGGGATGCTGGTTCTCATTTACAAGGAATTTGCCTCAGTTTGAAGGCATACAGGAACCCCACAGTAAGGAAAAACTACCATTCTCAAGGCAGCATGCACTGACAGTACAGAACTGAAAATCATGCTACTGTCTCCACATCTAGTCTTTACTAGCAGCTGATGGCAGATTAATGGATGTATGACAGACAGTCGAACTGGATCTAAGACAGAATAAAAAGGAAGGTACATATATCTGCCTGCCTGGAAAAGTACTGAATATATGAACATTGCAAACAGATCCCATAGGGAGAACCACACTTTTAATCATAGTTTGGTATATTTGTCTTTATGGGCCCCAACTTTAAAAGCAACTTCAGAGCTCACAAAAGGAATGAGGAAGAAGAAAAAAAGTTTAATCTTTGTGCAGATGAGTGTACAAAAGCTAAACTCTTCTCAGTGTTACAACCACAGTGAAAGACACGAGGTGAGCAAGATCATATTAGCATTTCTCATTTCCATCTCTGGCCAGACTAAAATCTCCATTCTCAAAGCACTATCAGTGACACACTGAGAATCACATCCTGAAGGCCTTACAGTATTTACCAAAGCATCCTTGTTGCTGGGAAAAAACGTAATAAAACGAAGAGATGTCTCTCACATAGGACTGGAGGAAAAAGCAATCAGATCTCACCTTGGAAGTCTTCAGAGGCTGATCCCACAGAAGTGTCCTTCTCACATACTGATATCTGCCCCTCACGGGGCTATTTTCCTATCCAGACAAACTGAACACTCAGGCCTGCACTCTGAACTCAGCAGCACAAAGGGTGACAGGACTGATGGAAGGCAACGTTTAATTTCTGCTTATCAGCACACTCCTGCATAGCCCAAACAGCATTTGCACCCCTGACACTGAATTTGGTCCATAGTAAGTGCTGCAGAGAGCTTCTCAAGCCCTGAGTGAACACTACCTGCAAAGATGTAATCACGTAACACCTCCTCCCCTCTTCTTTCCTCTCCAGCACCGCTCAGCTTTGCTCCAGGGCTCAGCAAAGCCCCATAGGAGGATGCAGCAGGGCCACAGGGGAATACAGGCAGGCCGGAGAGGCAGAAAAGCCCACTTGCTTCCCCATGGGCCTGTACTGTTCACCAGTGGGTGCTCAGGACCTCACTCCCACAGGGGCACACTGCCACCCTGTGGAAACAGCCCTTCCTCTCCCGGGCGGCTGGGGAAGGGCGCAGGGAGATGGCTCGCAGCCTCGCTGAGGCTCATCAGTCGCACTGCTAATGCGCTGGCAAGCCGTGCGTGCTTTGGTGCTATGCTGAAGCAGGGCTCTGTGAATTTAATTTATTGAGACTAATGCAAATTTAATTTCTGCTAAGTCTTTGTAATCACATATCTAGTGGCAGGGTGGCTGCTGCTGACAAGATGTACCTACTTACGCGCACAATTACTGCCACTCACTCCACTCCCCTCCACTGAGAAATTAAAACAACAAGGGACAGATCATCAGCAAATCTTCAGACAAGCCAGATGAGAGAGCAAGGCTGGATGCCACCTCTGTCCCCAAGACATCAGGGCAGCATGCTGAAAATGGCAGTAAGCCTCAAACACCACAGAACACCGACAGCGTGTTTCTTCCATCCAGATACATCCAAAAAATCTCAAGCCCCATCCTTGCATTTGGGTGGGCTAGCAAAGAGCCAGGCAGCCTTAGCAGTAGCAGGTCAGTGCTGAACACCAAGATACAGCCCCA